CCCGCCGCACGTGACACCGCCGCCCCAGCGCACGTGGAAGGCTGTTGTTACCCACCGCCGCTCTGACGTCACTTCCGGCCGGTTGGCAGAGGGAAGCGGAAGTGGGGCGGCCTCGGCGGGGGAGGGCCTCGGGCCGGCCGGGCCGGGCAGCCCCGCGAGGCGCGTCCCTGGCGCTCCCCCTCCCGCCCGTCCCCCGCCATGCCCCGATACTGCGCAGCCTCCTGCTGCAAGAACCGGGGCGGCCAGAGCGCCAGGGACCAGCGCAAGCTCAGCTTCTACCCGTGAGTGCGGCCGGGCGCGGAGCACTGCCCCTTCCCCGCGGCCTCCGGTTCCGTCGTCGCTCCGAGCCCTGGAGGCTGACGTCGCTCCAAAGCATGGATTACTGGCAGCAGGGCAGGGGCAGTTCTCAACCGGGGAAGGTCATTTCCCCAGGCTGGGTCAGGGGATGCTGGAAGGCCCCGGGGTCACAGGAGGCAGCAGTGCTCCCCGGGGATCCCACCCTGGCCGTCCTGAGCAGGGAGCTGGGGGAGCAGTCAGGTCCTTTCCCTTCAGAGCCAGGAGAGGCTGCCCCTCCTCGCTCCCCTGCAGCCTCCTCAGGACATCCTGTAGACTAGGGAGAGGGAGGGCAGCCACTTAGAGTCAGTGAGGCAACACAAGTCTCTTTCAAGTCTTCTGACCTAAAGCTGCCCCAGGTGTGGACAGGGGAAGCCTTGCTGGAGCCCAGGGGTCCTGTGGAGGCCATGCCTGACTCCTTTCCTTAGAGGCAAGAGAGAGCCTCTGGGAAATCAGCCCAAGTAGGGGCTGAGAAGGCCTCCAGCCTGCCCTCAAGAGGCTTTGTCCCATTCTTTGTATGTGCAGCAAGGTGTACACAGCATTTGTTCCGTGCATCATTGGTTGTCACAGGCATACAGGGCAATCTGGTGTTACATGCAAGGGTTCCAGTGAGGGGTGGAGAACATGCTGCCCATGGTCTTCCATGAACCTTTGCCTTGAAACTGTCCAAGCTGCTGTCAGACAGACCTGTGGAAATCTCATTAAGGGAGGTGCAGCGCTGCCCTATATCACAACCTGGAGAGAGCATGCTGTTGAGGCATAGGTTGGAGGGTGAGATGTAGAGAATCATACAGAAGTCAGGCTGGAAAGGACCTCTGGAGGTCACTGAGTTCAACCCCTTGCCTGAGGGAGGACCATCCCTATCTAAACAATCCCATGCAAACCATAATCTAAACTCTACATAAAACTACCGTCAACCCTGACAAAATATAGATCTAACACCCTAGCCTGCCACAGGTAAAGCAGGGGAACCACAGCAGCCAATGTCTTGCTTCTATGAAATATTATCAACCTACACTTAAAAGATCCCAGGTAGAGGGCAACACTCCCCAGCTACAAGAAGAAGTCAAAACCCCCCACATACCAATCTGACAATGGGGTAAAATTCCTTCCTGACTCCATACAGCAATGCTGACCCTAAATATGGCCAGGTAGCTACTTAACTCAAAATGCACATCTCAGACCCAGGGGTGCCTACGCACATGCAGCGAGGCTACTCCAACGTGCTGTAATTACAGTGCGTCAGAGCAGGCTCAGTGAATTGAGTCTGCTGGAGCGTGGTAATTACTGTGCTCCAGTGTCCCAACACTGAAAAATGGCAGCAGGGTTGCTTTAACTAAAGATTGTTCAGTGAGCTTTGATTAAAGCGCCCCTGCTGCCATTTATCAGCATAGGGATGCTGATACACATGACACTCCAGGCACTTCAATTACAGTGGCTCTCCAGGCACTTTAATTAGAGCGGTACTCTAAACCCCACCAATGCACACTTCATCTTCCTGTGTTGTTTTGCTACCATCTTCTCCACGTCCTCAAACCCCTGTTCCTTGCATCTTAACATTGAACCTCCTGCCTTCTTGCATGCAAAAAAAATATTGTGCACTTTTACTATTAGGCATGTAGCTTTGACACTTTGAAGTTAAGGTGGTGGCTCAAGTGTGATAGCAGCTGAAAATAAGTTCATGTGGAGCTGGGAAGTCTGAGAAGTCTAAACTGATTTTGTGCTGATATTTTTAAACAAGGTTTCCGCTTCATGATAAAGAAAGGCTTGAGAAATGGTTGCGGAATATGAAGCGTGATGCATGGACTCCCAGTAAGCATCAGCTCCTGTGCAGTGACCACTTTACCCCTGACTCCCTCGATGTGCGATGGGGTATACGATACTTGAAACAAACTGCAGTACCGACTATTTTCTCTTCACCAGATGATCAGGTAAAGTGTCACTTCAGTATATCTTAATATTTGTATAATTTTCACATACATTCTTAATATCCACAGAAATAAAATTTTGAATATGTATATATTCTAAAAAAATAGACTTCTGATTCTTTACAGTAGTATTTTACAGTGATAGGAGAGGCATACAAAAACTGTGACAAGATGTATGCAAAATTCCCTCTTGTAAAACCAGTTAGAAAGGAGAACAGTCCATTTTTACTGGAAATCTTCAAAGTTTTTCTGTTAGGCCATTTCTGTCCAAATAATAATGCTTCTTTTTACAACTGCTATTTTGTCTCAGGTAACTGATTTTGTTATCTTGTTGTCAACAGATGTAATTTTATGGTATTAACTACTGACTTTTACAGATTTTTAATTTCAAACTGTACCTCTTCCCTTCCTTGATGTCTTTCTTCCCTTCCTTACACTTTCTAATGTAAAAATCCCCGAAGGACAAGAGCCTAAGCACAACTTTAAAAATATTTCTATTTTAATTACGTATTTTATTCATGCAG